AGGAGCGAGGGTGGTGCTCGCGATGCGCCCCCCAACGCGCTCCGCGGGCGCTGTGCGCTCTGACGGGCAGCGCAGCTGCAGCTGCGAGGGGCGGGGCAGCGGGGACCCATGGGATGCGCGGCCCGGCCGGTGGTGAAAGCAGTGCATCTGGCAGCAGTGGCAACGGCTCCAGGTGAGCGTCGCACACACGCACACACACACACACAGTGCCAGCAGCAGCAGTTGCTGCGGAAGGTGCTGATAAGCCCGTGCCCCTCCTTTCCCCTGCCTCGCGGTCCAACCCAATCCTCCTCATCCGACGGCGCGGGTATGGTGCTCATCACATGTCACACGTACACCACCAGGGCGGTGTCGGTGTCGTGCCACTCCTCCGGGAAATATAGAAGCAGCGGCAGCAGGCAGCACTGCTGCTGATGCTGCCCGTCTCCCCTTCCCCCTTCCCCTCTGGGGCCCAAAGGGGCTGAGGCGCACAGGAGCAGCGGGGCGCGGCTTATCAAAATCGATTTTGTTTCGGGGGAAGGAGGCCGAGGGGGACGTCCCCGTACACACACACACACACACACACACTCAACAGGGGCAAGGCACCCGCACCAGCCGGTACGGCATTGAGGCCCAAGGTGAGGTATGACCCGTATAAGATATAAAACGTCCCCACCGGCGATAAAACTAGGGGTATAAAAAAGTAATTGTGTAGAAAGCGACCGAAAACTTCTCCAAAACACGAGAATGGGAATTACAATAATAACTCAATTTTGGAAATTATTGATTTTTTTTTATGATTTTTTTTCAGGTTTGGCGTAGTTTGCTGACGTAACTTTCAACCAGAACATGCATACAAGTAGGCTTGAGGCCATGAAGGCCTTCTTACCGACAGCCCGCACCCGCAGCATCCGGTGTGTTTGGCATGCACGGCCTACTGTATACTGAGCAGCAGCTTTGGGGGGGCTGCCCCGTGGCCTGCCCAGGAGCCGCCGGGCCAGTTCAGTTGGGTCAGTGGCGTCCAATAAGGTTCGGCGGACCGCGCCGCGGGGCCCCGGAGTTGTTTACTCCCCCTCTCTCCCCTCCCGGGCGGCAGGCACACCCACCCTTGACCTTGCGCAGCACACAGCGCGCGGGCCGCGACGCGGTGGTGCCGCGGGGGACCTCGCCGCCGCCGCCGCCGCGACGTCCCGCGATACCGACTGGTACAGTATGGTGTCGCGCAAAAAGCATTGCGCACACCGAGTTAGTACCAACATACACACAAATACATTCCGGGGGGAACCATCGTGTGTTTTTTACTCGCCATTGTGGTGCAACGGCAGCGCACCTCACCTCCTCCTCCTCCTCCTCCTCGAACAGAGCACGTCACACACGCAGCGTTCGCAGCAGCGGCATTATAGTGCGGTGACGAAAACATTACAAATAACGTGCAAATAAAACCCGCGTACAGCAGAGCCGCGCGCGGACCTGTCGTAGATATGGGTCCCAGCAGAGAAACAACAACATAAAATGTTTGTCGTGTTTCGTTTGTGTGTTTTCTCTAAAGAAACCAAACGAGCCCTTTTGTGCTTTTCTAGGAACTGATCTCCGCCAGGTCGCCGTAGCCGTGTATTTTATATTTCTCTTCTGCCGCCCCGCGGTGC